ATCTTCCTCTGAGAAAAGCAAGCAATAAAATACATAAACTTGTCTCTTTCACTGTCAGAATATGACACTTTTCTGGGAAACAGCATAAGGCATAATATGCCTTCCATTATGAAGAAACACTTCTCTTCTAACCACAGTAATATCCAGCAGTATAAATTCTTCATACTCACTTTTAAGCAGGCAATTAAAATGTTATAATCACCATAAACAGAAAACTGAATCATATTTTATAAACAAGTACTCTTCACTATTTTTAATCCTAAAATACCAGATCTTTACTGACACTTAGCTATGTGAAAGAGCTGGAGAGCATTGTCTTAGCAAGATAATGGCAACCCCCAGAATGACACACCAGATTTAGAAGATGAAGGAGTTTGGCCAAGACACAGGAGAGCTAGGCACCTAAATATCTTTGAGGATCTAGTAGTCCTTGGCCTTCAGTGTGTATCAATAAACTTGAAAGCTCCACATGACCAGAACAGCCACATGACCCAGGCCTAACTACAGATTTCCTAGATTATTGTTTGCTGCCACATGGTTAGTTGCTGAGATAAGGCAGTTTGCTCTGAAAGATGCCTTCTTGCAATTTTCTTGTGGTTTCTAAACTAACCAAGCCCCTGTCTTCCCCCTAAGCAATCTTCCATATTCAGTGTTCTCCAATTTGTCCCCAGGTTTTAGTTTTAAGAAAAAGGTGATACAAACAAAAATGAATACAAACCTGGATTGCTGTTCCATTTCAAATAAAACAACTAATGCTATTTTGAGTCACTTCCTCTCCTTTCAAAGTCAGAGTCCTGCAGTGAGGCCCCAAACACACAGAAAAACCACTTGCCATCATTTAAACCATTGCATTATGGTTTTTTTCCTCTTGCCCACACAGGTATATGAATATTTTAACTAATTTGTTAATTGCTGTTTAACAATTTGTATTCCAGTGGCATACAGATAGAAGGCAGGGTAGAGTTTCACCTTATAGACTAATTCACTGGTGCTCAAATTCTGGCACAGAGAATTGTGTCATCTGGCCACAGGTCCAGAAATCTGGCAGCAGGGAAGTGGCAGCAATTAACAGTATCACCCGCCACCAAATTTCCAAGCCCCTACGGCCAGATGATACGGCCTTGTGTATGGGATAGGGCCAGCTTGCAGAGGTAGGGGGGCAGGCCTGATCCGGTGTGTACGCCAGGGCCTGATTAGGCATACCTGATTTAGCTTGTGGGACCAGGCATGTATGGCTGGGGTGACATGCTAGATTATGCCTATGTGCCTAGCCCATGCTGGATCGGGCCCACAGACCAATCCTGTACACCTGGTCTGGCTCAGAGACCAACCCCACACCACTCGTCCCACCTGCAGCCCAGAAAATTTGGGCACTACTAGACTGACTAAATCAGAGAAGTGGGGTGCAGAGTCATGACTTGAGTCTCACTGGTTGGGCTCTGTACCAATACAAACTCTCAGAAAGCTGACAAACAATATGTGATGAGCAGAAGCAGGATCGACTAAGGGAAAGGATACAAGTGTCACGGTAACAGAAATAAAAGTCAGCATATCTTAACTTGGTACAAAATGTGAAGGATTCTTAGTTTTACTAAAAATGATTGAAGATGAGGAGTCGTCAACAACAGCATCTAATGAAGTGAACTTGGGCTCACAAACACTTGCATTCTCTACATATAATCATATATAGTTAACCCCGTCTTGCGAGTCAGTAACAGGTCATTCTCAATCAGCATTTTGCTATGACGTCCCAGCAGAGATGGATTTGAAGGACAAGTTAGCAAAAATACAAGTTAATCTATGAATACGTTTCTATGCATAAAGATCAACATGAAGGAAGACTGAAGATTGCCATCTTTAGTGGAAAGAGAAGCTAGTCACGTGATAAGATAAAAAGGGTTCAACAGGAAGGAGTTAAAGTATCTTGAAGATAAAGACTAGAAGTTTGTTCCTGAAGTGCTGAAAAAGCAGTTATTTGTGGATAGGAGGACATAAAGTAGGAAGGTAGCATGATCAAAGCAACAAGTGCGATTGAAGTAGGATTTAAGCAGCAATATTTTCAGTAGATACCTGTGGGACAAGGGAGGTGTCAGAAAGTTTGCTATAGACTGGATGACAAGTAATAAGGGCCAGTCTAGTGTTCCCTAATGCATACCCAGAAAAAAAATCTTGTTCTAGGAAAACTAGCAAGATTTGGATAAAGTGCAGAGGTGAAAGTCAAGGGGATAGTGGTAAAAACTATCCCAGATTATATTCCTTAGTGACCAGGGAATGGTAGGATTGTCAACTGTGACAGAAAAAAGGGACTAATTGGGAAGGAATATGGGACATTTAGTTTAAGTTATGTTATCTTTAAACTACTGGCAGAGCATTCATGAGGATGGTCAGGCCTGGTCTGAGAGATATGACTGGAGAGGGGCAGATAAATCAAAAGTGGAGAGATATTTGTAGGAGGAAACCCCAAGATAAAACCCAGTCGAACACCACCTGGAAGACTCATATGAGGAAGAAATCAACAAATGTGATAGTGAAGGAATATTCAGAGAGGGAAAAATGAAAACCATGTGAAAGTCAAGACCTTTGAAGTAGGAATGAATCAATGAAGAAGAAAACAGTAGATATAAACCCCAAGTCTTGGCCAAGAGGAGGTACTGAGAGACTCCAGTAAGAGAAATTTTAATGGAGTGCAAAGTGTAGGAGTTGGATGGGAAGTGGTCAAATACAGAGCTGAAAGCAGGCCCAAGGTGGTAGTCATAAACTGCATGTTTAATTAGGTGCAAAAATTAGGCAAAAATAGAATGGGAAACTGAGTCAAAGGGACTGATGTTTTTTGCTATGATGCAGCTTTAGACTTTGACAAGAATGAACTTGGGAGACTGCCCTAAACTTCTGTGAATCTGTGAATCGTAGTGGAGTGGGAATTAAGGAAGATGAGAATGCAGTGTAGCCAATATTCCCTTCCATTGATTTGCCAGTGATGTGCACACACACACACCCCTCCCCTCCCCTCCTACACTCATTTCAAGCACTCAGCATTTCACAGGATTGAGCCAAAAAGTAGTGACTCCAAAAACTAGAGACGGTTTTGTTCTATTCTCTGCCCAACTTCCCACACATTAGGTTCAGTGCTATTTTGTAAACCCACCTCTGGTATGTCATTTAGCCTTGGCTTCTCATTCGTCAGATTGCAGTGAATTAACCATATTCTATCACTGGATTGACAGCACAAAGTTACAAGCATTTCATCAGTCAAACTGGTCACTGGTTGCACCACACAGACATAAAATGACAGGGTTGAAAGAGGACTCTTATTTAGCCCAACACCCTGCATCAAGCAGGATTTTCCTCTATTGCTAATGTTAAAAGTATTTTATCTGTGCTCTATCAAATACCTGCATTATAACCAAGGGTGACTCACCCTAATTGCCCTACTATTAACAACATTTTTTCATGTCTAATCTGGGTGTCTTGGTTTTAATTTTAAACTACTGCTATTTCTATGACCATCCAGTGATTATCCTGCTAATCCCTGTGGCACGTGCATAAAAGAAGAAAACATTCAAAAGATTCCTTGTTATTAGGCTTGGAGATTACTGGCACCAAAGGAGCACTGTCATTGCCCTTTCCCTTAATTCTTCATTTGCTAAGTTAGGAGGCTATTCTTCCTGGAGTAAAACTTTCATTTTGAAAATGTAAGTGATCCATGACCGGTAATTCTGGATACATAAATATCGTTATTGCAACCAACCAGGGAATACTTGTTAATATTTACATGCTCCAATATAGACACATTGATGAATTACTTGGTGAATTATCAAGTTAGGATGAGGGTATAAATGCAGCATTTCTGACAATGATTTTCCAATTATCTCAATCTTTATTTGACTAAAATCTGTATGGTCCAATAAAATCCTATGTACTCTTTAATCACAAAATGAGCCTTATTTGCAATCTCTGTAAAATTAATGGGATTTGTGGGAACACTATATACGACAGGATCTGAACCTCAGTGTGAAAGAGCTCTCGGCCTATTCAGAGACTGCTTTATTGGTTTTATGTGGTTGACAATCCATATTTTTAGCTTGCTAATGAGTATTCAGAGTCAATACACTCTGAGTTATTTTTTCTACATGATAAATTGAAATTTTAAGTAGAAAATTATTTTCTGAACACGGGGTCTAAGTCTACACAGCAAAAAATTGAGTGTTTTATGAGTTGTGTTTCTAAACCAAATAAAAACATACACAATTGAATACAACAGTGTTTAAAATTGTGTGGATCTGTCCATTTCAGAAAGAATTTATATAGACAAATTATAAAGCTAAACCTCCAATGTATAATGCAGTCTTGTTTCATATCCTGTGCATGTGTACAATTCTCCCTATGTACATGGTGTCCCTAAAAATATAAGAATAAGCTGCCTCTTAGGGCTAGTTTGAAGTATCCAGCATGAATTAGTGTTTGATAAGGCCAAGGGAGCAAGGATATCACTTGTAAACAAACCATATGAGGAAAGGGGGTGAAATCCAGGCAAACTAGGTAGACATTCTCAGTGTTTGTTCAATGAACACCTCTTTTGTTTTTGGTATCAACAGCTGTTTTCTTGGCGTTTATTGCTTAAACCCAAATCAGAACACTTAACTATAAGTGAAGGGAAGAAAATAAGACAATATGTTACTTTTGTTTGATGGTATCAATTTAAATGTACTGTGAACAGCAATGAGTGCTTCATTTTTGCAGTAAATCCTGCTGTTCCACTTTACCTGGGAAAAGTATTATAACAACCCAAGCAACTTTGATATCAAGAAGAGAATGGCTACAGCATAAATGCAGCTCAAAAACTGCCAAACCACAGTTCAACCAGTATAACGACTCTCTCATTCTATAATATAGAAATGCTCAATTTTAAGGAATATATATATGGGTCAGTACTGTACACACTTACAGAACTCCAAATCCTAGGGAGGCAGGAGGGGCTGAATTAAGAGCACTCTGAGAGTATTTGTTTTTCCATTTCTGGATATTTTTTAATTTGAAAGCAAACGAATGCATAATACCCACCCACAACATGCAGTATACATTCATTCTATACCCATACATTTTGTTACAGCTAAACCAGGATTGTGGATTTATTTTTCTTCCTTATTAGCTCATGATACATGCTAGTTCTTTCTTATGTACACAAGAGGAGTGCTTGGACACTTTGTTCTGCTATCTAGATGGCATGTCCAGAAAAACAGAACCTTAAACTGTATTTCCCAATAGCAGGTTCTGATGTAAAACACCAGTCTGTTCCTGAACAATAGCTGCCAAGTGACTGGAAAGCTTCACTTAGTGAGAACGCAGTAGGTTCTCAAATGGGAAGAAACCCACAAATGTAACTGACTGCGCAGCGAAACAAGCCAGTGCTCCAGGAGCCGAGGTATCTTCATAGTAAATCTGAAGGCGTTAAAATTTAGCTAAATTTAAGCCAACAGTCCACTCCCCTCTGGGCACAACCTCCTCCCCTTTCTTGAAACAGGCTGTAAACAGAGAAAGGGAGGGGCTAGTGCAGCCTGCCAAGCAAAGCAGAAACTTTGTGAGTAATTTACTAGGACAAACAAGTGCAGCGCACACGCAGCCGGGAATGCTCGTGGCTGCGTGAGCTCTACCAGAATGAGATCACAGTGTTTTTACAGAAGAACATGACAGTCCTTTACAGTCAACTTCCTTGCTCTGGAAAGTTATTTATCCAGCGTTTGGGAACCTCACAGTACAAAGGAACATAAAACATGAACTGAAGGTAAGTGTTTACAAAGCTGTATAACAACGCTGCTGAAATAAAGTCCAGGCCACGAGACGGACAAATTTAGAGGCGGTGCGGAGGGAGGCTGGGTTTGGGGTTTTTGTTTCTGTTTTTTTAATTAATCAGCGCTGAGTAAAATGAGAAACTGGGAGTGAGGTATTTGGCAGGCTTAGTCGAAATAAAATGCATGTGGAAACTATGCAACAAAACAATGAATCTGCAGCAGGAAAAAAGTAGTTTTATTAGATAAATAGCTGACTTAGTTGTATTACAGCTTCATTTCTGAAATCATGAAGATACAGTCCTTACTCTGGCAAAACTCCCCCTGGTGACGGGAGACCTGCCTCAGTAACAAATGCAGGATGGAGCCTAAACAATGCATCAATGTAGTTTCTCAGGCGAACAAGTAATACGTCAAAAACGGGGGGGGGGGGTGTTGTTGTTTGTATATCATTAAGAA